TGCAAATGCAATATTGTTTGACGCAGTAGAAGCTCTTATTGAGTGTACAACACAAGAATTCATTGTAAAGGAAAACAAATAGGCCAATCCTAACTTAACTTAAGTAATGAATTAGAAACACAGAAAAATTGTCACATATATAAAATTAACATTTGTTCTTATTAACATTTTTTCTCATTCAAATTAGTTGAAAAGTTAGATGAGAAGATAAAAGATGAATGAGCCAAGGGAAATATACTAGCACGAGAGATCCAGGTCCAGCTTGATATCACAATCGATGTAGATAATGAAGACACCACTCCAGAATTACCCTAGTAAAAGATAAAAGTGAAGAGTGCTTGATCTCAGCTCAATAAAAAATAAAGCAGAAAGAATAAAAAATAATATTTTCTTAATATTTTATTAGATAGCCTAAATTTGAGTAAAATTAGGAATATTTGGAAGAGATTTCCATAAAATTTTAAATATTTTTATATATTTATTTTGTAGACGCTTTTATCATATAAAATTATACTAGTTAGCATTAATATTTAGTTTATGATTTTTAATGAAGTATATCAATGATTAGGAATAAAATCCATATTCCCTTTTGTGCCATTTTAGCCACTTCTAATCAATCGTCTAGGTTTATTGGCTTTAATTATACCTCTTGCTATTATAATATTATATTTTCAAGTATTTTTTACTTTTGCAATACCATACTTCCTTAGATAAAGCTTCATTTCATGTCAATCTAAATAACATGAATATCCAAATTGGCTTCACGTTGATTTCATGTCAATTCAAATATTATCAACATGAAACTTAACATTGGGTGTAGCCCATTCAAACAAACATTAAAAAAGATAAATAACCACAATATTAAATTTTTATAGACATAAGTGAGCAAATACTATCAAATTGAAATCGAAGAACAAATTTTAGTAAGAAAATAAACTAAAAATGAATAATTATGATACTAACCACGTGCACTACACGTGCATAAAAACTAGTTAGTTCAAAACCATGACTATTTATTTTTATAAAAGAGGGTTTTCCAAAATAGTCCATTAAATCCCTTAATACGTTCGAACTACACCTACTCCGATAATGATAATTCTATTAAACCCCTCAATTATTCTTACTCATTTCTCACTTAAAAATAAAATCTCAATGAGACTAATACAAAACACTTTAAAAAAGAATATGTTCTTCAACAAGTTAATTTCACATTTCCAAATATATATACACACACACACACACTTCAACAAGCTAATTTCACGTTTCCCTAATTAAGAGCTCCATGCAAACAAATAGAAAATTTTAATCCCTAACTAAGAGCTTCACGCAAAGAAATCCAAAATTATAATCCCAAAGAGGGGAGGAGATTTCCACGGGTCGCATTTTTGAGACAATTCAACCTCAATGATTCGAATGGTAATCAGGCGAAGATCTTTAGTGCTTTTTTCACCATCATACACCCTTTTTTTTATACATCAGGGAAGTTCAACACTAATATTGCTAGCGTTAGGAGTTCACTAACAGGGGAGAAGGGAAATATGGGAAGGGACAACAATGTAAAGAAAAGGGAAGGGACGAAGAGTTGTAATGCTCCACAACGTGAGATGTTATAAGTACTAGAGGGGGAAGGGGAGGAAAAAAATGTAATAATCATGTTTGAAATGCCACCAAATCCTTGGAAAATCTCTCCATACGGAGATGCTATGCAGCATAAAAAAAAAAAAAAAAGGAAGCTTTAACATTTCCATGGGGACCAAACAAAAGGATTGAAAATGAAGTTAGAAGAATGAGGTGATAATATCTTTATAGAACCATGTGACCAATGAGGAGGAGAGAGTTCACAGGGTACAAATTTTCACGGGTGACCTGATTATCGGAGGGACACGTTTTAATCATCAAAAGTTAAAGGGACGTTTTCCGAATTTTAGCTTAATCTTAGCGGGTGTTTGGTTGCACAATTTTATAGAAAAGTTTTCTCAAAATGTCTGACAATGATAATTCTGTAATTAAAATTTTCTGTAGATTTCTGTAAACTGTGTTTGGTTCAAAAAAATTTACAGAAATGTTTTCTGTAAAGTACAAAAAATATCAAATTTTACAGAAATCATTTTCCTTTCAAAATGGGCGGAAATCATCAAGAAATCTGACACCACATTGGTACTTTTCTATAAAGTTGACACTTTTCTATAAATTTAAGTGGTGTTTGGTTCAATTTCTACAAATTCTAGAAAATCTTGCTATTTTCTATAAAGTTATGAGTCATTTCTTATTTTGAACCAAACAAGCAAAGTAAAAAAAAAATTTGGTACTTTTTGACTTCTCAAAACTTTCCTATAATTTTTTAAAGAAATATAAGGAAATTATATTTTGGGTGGAAAACATTTCCTATAATTTGTAGAAATTAAACTAAACACCCCCTTAACATATAAGTAACATAAACGAGAGAATAAGGGGCTGTTTGGTTCGCTATTATAAGGGGTGGAAAACTCAGAAAACCTCTCCACGTCAGATTTTTAGCCCTCCACGTCAGCTTTTTTGTTTCCGTCCATTTCTTTGTGCCGCTTTGGTTCGCTCGAATGGAAGAGGGAAAACTCTGCTGAAATCGCCGCCAACTAAGATTTTTTTTCCTCTCCGATTTCCTTCCTCAACCAAGTGAAATTGATGAAAACTCTGCCACGTCAGATTTTTTTCCTTCTCTGGTTTGTTTACAAAAGTTTTCATTTTTTTCTATGCGAACCAAACACAAGAAAAATAAATACATTGGTTTCCCACCATTTTTTATGTGCGAACCAAAGCAAAACAATCTATTTCTTGGAAAAGTTTGGAAAACTCAAAACTTGTGTTTCTTTACATGGAATTACATTTCTCTATATCAAGAAAACGAACCAAACAGCCCCTAAGAGGAAACCTTTACCCTTTATAATTAGACAATGGAATCTGAAACTTAATATTCCATCATCTCTAGGTTAGAGTTTTTGTGATCTCAAATATGTCAATTATTTGGAAAGTTTGTTTTACAGATTCCATTTAAATTCATTTTTTGATTACAGATCGCGAGAAAATCACTATTCCTGTTTACTCAGAGAATATGAATACATTTTTTTTTCCAATCTTTATCCTCAACATCTTTAATAAAACCAAAGCCAACAGCATGTATCTAGCATACATATTGTTAGCTCCAACTACTCCTACCCAAATGCATATTTTTTTAAACATATTTCAAACGCATCTTAATTGGTGGTAAGTTGGTCTGCAAAAGTGAAAAAAATTACTGACTACTGATTTTATTGACCATCCACATATTCATTTACAAACATTGAGCAATCTCTAAATCCAGTTAAGACTATCCAAATGTATTAGAGATCCAATACTTAACCTAAGTTAACAATTTAGCAAGTTAGAGATCCAATGTATTAGAGAACTCTTCAAAGTATTAATATGATTCTAAGAAATGAATGACAACACCTTAGAATTTATACTTACAAAGATTCATTTGAAAGTACATGGATGTTTAACAGTAATTTTATTTGGCAACTTAATTCATTTGATTATATATGACAGTGTGGAAATAAATTACCATGTGCATTTATTGGATCTAAACATATGTCATTGTGATATATCTAAATAAGAGAAAACAATTAATAACTCAACGATTGAAGCTTCACTTATCTTGTTCGGGATGACGTCTCATTGGTGTTCCCTTTTCAATGTTTGTAAATGAATAGTGAAAACTTTTTCCTCTTTGTTCTCAAAAATCTAATCCCTTGAGTAGTAGTTTGAGCTGAGCTCCATTCCTCCAATTGTAGGTCTAAGCAATTGAAGGGGCTACGTTACTAAGCAATTGAAGGGGCTACGTTAAGTAATATAGATTTTCTTTATGATGTTACTTTATGATGTTATTTTTTTTTGGTTTTTTTTCTCACGTGAAGTAATATATATTTTCTTCTGTTTGATAATTTTTCACATTTGATCGATGACAACGTTCAAAGCCGAGCGCAATACTAAGGGGTTGTTTGGATGCCTTCAGTAAACTAGAATATTTATGACAAAAAATAGAAAGTGGTTATCCACCTCACTACTTTCCATTCGAGTGTTTACATTGTTTGATTAAGAATCTTTATGAATTCTAAAATGATAGTATTACATTGTTTGGATAGTATAATGTAAACTAGAGTATTTATGGCACAAAATGGAAAATGATGATCCAACTCACTACTTTCTACAAGGTTTTGACTTTTTAATTATTTTTTTGGACACATTTATGACGTTGTGTCAGCTTTCCAACAAAATCACTTCTAAGTTTGATGATTTTGCTTTTGGTGACACCTCATCAAGATGTGTAAACTTTTCATGTAAAAAAGAATTTAAACAAATAATGTAAGTGATGAAAGCTGACATTTGGACCCACTTTTTTACACTTTTCATCCTTTTATATGTTAAAAACATACTTAAAAACATACAAGCAAACAGCCCCTAAACGACTTGGATGTTCGGCCCAGCTTCTAAAGCCCATAGCAAAGCTTCCCGTTGGGGAGTGATGAACAGCAAACGCTGAAAGGCACCACAAGCAGCATGCCACGTAAGAACTTTCAGGATAAAAATTTGGCTGGCGCTTCTGGGATCCGCTTCGTTCCACGCGTCCACAGCTGCGAACCCCCCCCAGCGCCTTTTTTGACCACAAAACCCGAAGGTCCCGTCCACCGCCAAGCCTCCGCGCGCTTTCACCATGGCTGCTCCCCGCGGCTTTCTCCGCGCCATGCCAACCCCACTCTCGGTCCAGAGATCCCGTCGCCGCCCTCCCTTCTCCTTCTCCTCTTGCCCCTCCCCCTCCTCGAAACTTCACCAGCCTGGTCTCCCCCCTCAGCGGCCGGCGACCGCCACGACGTGGCGGAGGGGGCTCCGATGTCAGCGCGGAGAAGCGAGGCGGGCGGGGAGAGGCGCATAGGGATTGGAGAGAGAGTGGTACCCGTTGTATTGTGTCCGACGAGGTTCCAAAAAGGACGCGGCCTTTGAGGGCTGTCGGTGTTCGACGAGAAGCTCGTCTGTATCGGGTGGTGATGGGAGTTTCTGCTGCTTCGCGGATCGGTGCCCTCACAGGTCTCTCTCTCTCTCTCAATGTTTTATTTATTATTTTAGTGTGATTTTTTTACGCGCACGTTTCGATAATTCCAGTGATTTCAGAGGTTAATTCGCGTCGTTAATCCGACACACAGATGAATCCGTGTTGAAATCTCGGTATTTGGTTCACCGACGCTGCTCTATTTCAAGTACCCATTTCGTTAATTTGTTGAAATATCCTTGTTTTCTACTTGGATTTGTGCGATGAATTCGTTGGCGTTGGAATGGAGGAACCAATGGAAACTTCCAGTGGGCTGAAACATAAAGAGAACTGTAACGAGAAAAACATATTACCTGTGGTGACCTATGTTAGGGGATCATTAGATGGAGATGAATGCAGAAGATAATACGGTCTTACCTTGATGAATTTGTGAACACCATGGGAGCTAAATTTTAGTTTCAATTCAAGGCATCACGTGTCGGAGTAAGATAGTAATAACTATGGTTCTCAGCAATGGGATACCTATATCTATATCTCAAGGTTTTTGACCCCTTTTTAAGACTATTGATCCGAGACAATCCCATTTTACAATCCCATTTTTTTCCCCCCTCTTTGCCTGAATTTTTGAGGAAGCATCTGTTACCGCTAATCAATTCCTTTTCTACCTTTGCATTTAAGCATCTTCCAGCAAATTGAGACAAAAAAAGAGCACGGACTTGTATTAGTATACAACAATAATGACCGAAAACTGGAGAGCTACGCCATTTTTCAGGGAGGCTGCATGTTTTGTTCTGTTGTTACTGGTTATTGATGCTGGTTATTGATGCTGGTTATTGATGCTGTTGTTGTTAGTGGTTATTGTAGCATGCCATAACTATAATAGCCCTTGAATATATTAAAATTTTCTGCAGATTAGCAAAACTATCTGAAGGTCAGCTGATTGATGGAAGATTGGAATGCCTATACCATGGGTGGCAGTTTGGAGATGACGGTAAATGCCTAAAGATACCTCAGGTCTTCCTTATTTTCCTGCAATTTCTTATTTATTTATCAAATTTCTTTCGAATGCCTAACAGTAATGAATCAATTTAGACACAAGAAATAAACTACTTCTGCTTATTTTATGGCTATAGCTTCCAGAGGGGGCCAAAATTCCTCTCTCTTCTTGTGCGAAAACATATAAAGTAAGGGACTCTCAAGGAGTCGTATGGGTTTGGATGTCAAATGAAACTCCACCATGCAGCGAAAAACTCCCTTATTTTGAGCACTACTCAAGGCCAGACCTCCAAGCAATCTCAACAATCCACGAGTTGCCATATGACCACTCTATACTTCTTGAGAACTTTATGGATCCTGCCCACGTCCCAATTTCTCATGATCGTAGTGATTTTTACTCTAAAAGAGAGGATGCTCAACCTCTTGTCTTTGAAACCATTGAGCGTTCCTCTCGAGGATTTGCTGGAAAATGGAGCAAATCAAGAAACCCCACCTTCATTAATTTTCTACGGTTTGAAGCCCCTTGTGCTCTCCAAAACAATCACGAATACATTGATAAAACCGGTAGGAAACAGTACGTTTCGTCTCTTTTTCTCTGTAGGCCTATTGGCCAAGGGAAATCTATGGTGATCACAAGATTCGGAACTACTTTAAAATCCCCAGTCATGAAATTTCTCCCTAAATGGTTCTTCCATCAAAACATATGCAAAGTCCTGGAACAAGACATGGGATTCCTTTCATCTCAAAATGAAATCCTAATGAAGGAAATGACTCCTGTTGGTAAAATGTATATTAATCTTGGGTCATGTGACACTTGGGTCTTGGAGTATCGAAAGTGGAAGGATAGAGTAGGGCATGGGATGCCATACTATTTTGGGCACAGTTCAATCTCATTGCCAAATGAGCCAGCTCTTGTTGAGCAATACAGAGCTGGACTTGACGCGGGGATTTCAGCCTCTATGCCTGCAAAAGGGGGGATCGCGGATATTTATGCCTCGAATCCAATAAACCGATATTCCAGACACGTAGTTCATTGTAAAAAGTGTAGAGATTCTGTGAAGGGTTTTGGATTTTGGAGGAATACCCTTGTTGGCTTGGCTGTTTTAGCTGTGGCTTTGGCTGTTTTGGCGTCGAGAACTCAGTGGAAGGTCTTGTTCTTGGTTTCTGCTGCTTTGTTCTTGGGCGGGCAGTATGTATGCTACTCTGCACTAAATCTAGTGACGACAAACTTTATTAGGAGTCACAGGAGGTTGTAGAAGGGATTGAGAAGCGCGGTAAAATGTGTGAAGATGATTTTGATATGTTGCTGATTCTTTTTTATGTAAACATGTGTAAATTGGATTGCTCTTTTGATGTATACCAAGCGTGTAGTTCGATTTCAGACCGAATTGTCTTCGATTCTTTGTTTTGATTGTTTCTAGTTTCTCGGATTTGTATCGAAATTTTTTTTTATTTGTTTCATGCAAGTTGATCATGTATTTGAAGTTGCAGAAACTCTAGATGCTTCAAGTTTCTTGAATTGTTGTTTTCATGTGATGTATGTGATTAACATGAACAACTTCTGACTGATTTGTAGAGCTCAGTAATGAACGCATTTTTGAAGATCCAGAGTTGCAAAGCAGAAGAAGCTACACCTATGCAATTAGTATATAACAGAAATATGCTACTATTTAAAAAAAAAACATAGTATATAAAACTGATCTTTAAACAGCGTACTATACTTTCATGCATATCATAGTCGCACTTTAAATGTATCAAACAGGAGGTACGCCAATTTTTTGCAGATTGATTTTAGATTTGTATACGGGGATATATTCAATAATGATGAGAAGAATAATCCAATCGGAGAAAAGCAAAAACGGAAAAAGACGAAAAGGGCATAGAAGTAATTTAAATTGGATAGATAAGTAAAATGAGTGGAGCTCCGTGATTTTTTTAATTAAAAAGCAGACGGAGAGAATAGAATAGAAAATGGTTGGGGATCGAGCGCTTCTCCTCTTCAAATCCTCACCCCTCTCTATTCACCTCCCCATTTTCTCCACCTTCGCGCTCCCAAATCCGAGCCCTAAAAGATCCTCGTCCCCCCGGCCGCTCTCCAATCGGACGGTCAAGATGTCCTCCTCCGATCACCCCGAAGGCCCTCCTCCCTCCTCCTCCTCCTCCTCCTCCGCCGCCTCCGCCGTTGATTTCCTCACTCTCTGCCACCGCCTCAAGGTCATCCTCTCTCTCTTTAACCCTAACCCTAACCCTAGCTCGTTTTCTCTCTCCCTTACTCGTTTTCTCATCCATCGCTAGACCACGAAAAGAGCGGGTTGGGTGCGCCGCGGAGTATCGGAACCGGAGTCGATAGCGGACCACATGTATCGGATGGGAGTTATGGCTCTCGTCGCTCCGGAGATCCCTGGTGCCGATCGTGATAGGTAATTAGGGCTCACGAAATTTAAAGAGTGTTTCTGAAATTTTTCTTTTTTTTTCTTGGGCTTATTTTTATTTTTTATTTTTTTTTTGTTTTAGGTTAGTGAAGATGGCTATTGTGCATGATATTGCCGAAGGTACAGATGAAAAAAAAGGAAAAAAAAACTTTCTGGATTTTTTTTTGTATGTTTGAAAGATTGTTTATGGGAACGTTTATTGAATCAGCTATTGTCGGTGATATTACTCCTGTTGATGGTGTTCCGAAGGAGGAGAAGAGTCGAAGAGAGAGGGAAGCGATTGATCATATGTGCAACTTGCTTGGTGGAGGATCTAGAGGTAAGTTAATGGCACCAATGAATGATTGTATGGCTGCATTTAGGAAATTTTATTTACAATGTTTTTTTCGTTGATATTTGTTGCTTAAAGAGGTAGTAATGCTGGATGTGAGTTTTGGTGTTAATGCTCAACAACAGTTGGGTTAGAAACTATGGCTTAAACATGCGTTTATCTGAGGTAATTGAAGTAAATTAGATCGAGACTGATTTAATGAGGTAGAACAAATACTAGAAAACCAATTTCATATAGAATTTTCCCATCACGAGACAAGAGTTTGGTTATGGTGCAAGATCCACAATGAGAAAGACCCAAAAGCTTTGATCAGGTTTTTGTAGCAGCTTGTCTATGTAACATCAATCTCTTATGAATTATGAATTGGTACCAACTATCAAGTTCTTGTTAAAAGGAAACTAGATGAAAAAGGGAATGAGTCAGGCCATTAGAACCCTGTTCCCTTGAAAAAGAAAGGTATACCTCTTTTGGCACTGAAGTAGCTCATGCAATCAAGGAGAATCTGCAAAACTCACTACAATAGGGTCTTCACAGAGAGATGATATGACTTGCTATATGGAAACATTAATCTCTAAGGAACAATGTAAGTTAAAATCACTTGGATCTCATTTCTAAAAATGCATTTAGTTTTAATTCTCTATAGTCATAACATGAAAAAAAATTACTTATTAGTTTATATAACCCATGAAAGATAAGTACGTGCAAATGATATGTTGCTGCAGCTCTATGAAAATTACAAATTCTTACACGAACTGCCTTGTAGCGTACTGGAAACTTTTTAAATATAACTGACATACAAAACATTGATGCTTCATGCTTCCACATTGATACAACACATTGATGCTTCATGCTTCCACATCTTCTACATTATAATTTAACTAAATTTTAACTAACTTATGGGTGAGACCGAGAGAGATCTTGTGTTCAGAAGAAAATTACGTGATAGGGACACTAAGAAATTGAAGCCCACATTCTGAAAGATAACTCGCTTTACATATCTCCTGAGAAGGGAACAACGGTGAAAGACTTAAGTAGAACTTGATGTAGTTCTTTTACCTGGTACTATAGCAGAGTATAGCTGCCCTGACCTCCTGTTGGAATACCTTATTTGGAGAGTAGGATATTAACTTAGGGATCACCTTTGCTTTCATCGTGTTTAAGATTATTTCCTCCCAGCAGCACTGCAAACTTATTCAATACTATATATCAAATATCAAGAAGAATAATCATGATTATGCATATGAAACAATAAATGTATTCAATGTTCTCCCCAGAAACTAGGCAATGACTTTTCCTTCTTTGGCAGCTAACGAGATGAAACAATTATGGATGGAGTATGAGGAAAATTCTTCTTTGGAAGCAAATATTGTTAAGGATTTTGACAAGGTACCTTTTTCATTTTCTCTTTTATTTTAACATTTTGAAGATGTGAACATTGATATGTTTTTATGTGTCATCTACATACTGATTCCTTTAGCGACTTCACTTTTCTGCATGCATGTCATATCCATTTGGATGGATATAAAAATGAAGCCGATGAATTGTTTTTAATATTTGTAGTCAACTCTAGTTTTAGTCAGAACTAGCCTTTGACTAGTGCTTTAATTTGATTAGGATTCTCATTTTTTAGTTTAAATATTGCTATTGTTACTCCAAGAAACAGAGTTGCTTATGATTGAAAATTGAGTTTCAATCATCTCTCATACCCTACAATTTCCTTATGGTTGTATTACCTGCTTTTGCCTTGTCATCCTTGATTCTTGTCAAATCAGTGAAGCCTCATGTATCGTATGTGCATCAACTGGGCACTAGTCTTGATCCCACTGCATTGACTAAAAAACATATCCTACAAATGGACAATCACTCACATTTGTTACACTTTGCAACTCTTTTATCTCCTGCTGCAACCCCTACCAGCAACATCACAGCGCCATCATGATCAGTTAAAAGTTAAAACATCGCAAGCACACAATTCGCCACCATTTTCATACTTCTTCTTTTAGATATAACTCCTATTTGGAGCCTTTAAGGGGTTCACACTTGTATATTCCTAAATATCTCTAGTCTCTGTGGGTTTGATTTTAGATATTGGCAAACTTCAGGCACAAAATAAGCTTTTCACAATGCTTGCTAGTAGAGGAGTTCATAGGAATTTGAAGAGGGAATGATAGTCTTTCAAAGTGGATTAAGATTAAATACTAAAACCGTTATCCCTCAATGAGTTAAATATAGTTTTCATCTATCAAAAAATGAAGTTGAAAATTTACTGGTGACACCCTGCTTCTTAGATAGGCAGAAGCCAACTGGTTGATAAGAACCAATCATGTAAATTAAGAAGCCTTACATTATTTGGAGATGGAGACACAAATAAATAAGCAAAGCAAACCCCAAGCATCTTCACTACTTAAGATACAATCTAGATATGAACCAGGAAACTCTAATAGAATAATTCCTAACTAACTAGAAGCTGAGGCTGGGGAAACTGATCTGAAACTCCAAGGTGTTTCGAAGTCTCTTCCACGTGCACAGACTTGAGAGGCCATACTCTTATCACTTGCTTCAAATTGATCCCAAGGTTCCTCATGATGAGGATACATGGCAGAGATTGAGACTATCCATTTGATTCAAAGTTCTACTCTACTTGGACATGAGCTCAAGCCATCCACATGGTACTGCTGTCCGAGGAGATAGTTCAAGTTTAAAGTTGCGTTACGGATTTTCATTTTAGGTACCTATGAAATCAATAAATGATCTGCTAAGATGAGCACATAGAAAATAAACTGTAATGCAACGATTACTATCCATGTGAATGCAACTGCACTAGATTCAAGCCTTATCTGAGTTATCTCTATTCTAGACCACTGTAATTATTTCAAATTTACATGTATCCTTTTATTTAAGCCTATTAAAGGTCATGATGTGTTGTTTATTGGATGACTGTCATTGAGTCCTCTCCTTATGCCCTCTATCAAACATTCAAAAAGTATCTACAAGTAGGGGTGTCCAAAAAGCCCGCCAGCCCGGCCCAGAACAGTGTTTTTTTAATTTTTAATTTTCTTATATGTATAATATATGTATATGTGTATATATATTGTGTATATAATATATATATATATATATATATACTCTCTCTTAGTATATAATTATATATAAGTATACTCTCTCTTATATAAGTATATATATGTATAAGTATGCTCTCTTAATATATGTATAAGTATATATAGTATACAATGTATACTCTCTCTTATATAAGTATACTCTCTCTTTATATATGTATAATATATGTTATATATATATTACTCTCTCCTCTCTAGTATATAAGTATATTCTCTCTTATATATATATAATATATGTATAAGTATACAGTGTATACTCTCTTATATAAGTATATATTCAGTATACTCCTCTCTTATTTATGTATATATCTCTTATATATATTATATATATATATATATATATATATATATATATATATATATATATATATATATATATATATATATATATATATATAATAATATATATTATATATTATATATATATATAAGTATACTCTGCTCTATATAAAGTAAATATAGAAGTTATAATGTATAAGGTATACTCTCTCTTATATATGTATAAATATATGTATAAGTATATATAAGTATACTCTCTTCTATATATGTATATATAATGTGTGTTATATATAGTATATGTGTGTGTGTGTGCGTGTTTTATGTATAATACAATTTGTTTATGTAATTACTATAAGTATTTACAATTTGTTTATGTATAATATATGTATATGTGTGTCAGTGTGTGTGTGTATATATATACATATACATATATTGAATGACATGATACTTTGGCGATTGTTTCTACTTAAGTATATAAGTATATGTAACTATAAGATATTCTCTTATATATGTTTATATCTCTTATATATTATATAATATGTATAAGTATGCTCTCTCTTATATATGTGTACAGTGTATACTCTCTCTTATATATAATATTTATACTCTTTCTCTTAGTATATAAGTATACTTATATGTACACATATATTATACATAATATAAGTATATTTATATAGTATATATATATACACATATATAAACATAAACTTATATGTACATATATAAGTATATTTATATAATAGTATAAATACATATAAGAGTATAAATATATATTTATATATCTATACATATATATAAACATAAACTTATATGTACATATATAATTATATTTATATAAGAGTATAAATATATATATACTATTATATAAATATAATTTTTATGTTTTATTGTTTTTTTAAAATTTAAAAAAAATAAAAAAATCCGGGTCGGCCTGGAGCCCGGCCCGGTCGGGCCCGGGCTCTGGTTTTGCCCGGGCCGGCCCGGCCCGGATGGACAGGCCTATCTACAAGTAAGCTTCATCATCTCATCTTTTTAACTGTGGACATAAATATGATACTCGAGGGCAATCTCTCCTTTAAAGCTGTTGCTTGTGAACATATGCCATAATTACAACAGATGCATGGATACAATACCCTAGTTTATCTTTATTTCGCTTGTTGATTTTTCTCTTTCTGCCAGACCTGTATTAAATTTGGTCCATGGTTTATTAGTTTCAAGATCACACAAGTAATAAGTTTCCCTCCTATTTCAAATAATCATAACTGATTACCTTTTCTGAGCGACAGTTTTCTTACATTCGCCATGCTTCTGAGCGGTATATGTCTTACTTGAACAGCTGCCACTTTCATGTTCGTCATGTCATAGGATTATTTTGATTCAACTTATTTCTCGTCCTGTATCAACACATTCTTCTTGTTGGGAGTATGGTTGTTTATCTGGTTTAGACTGACGACTATTTATTTATTTATTCTTTTGTTCAGGTTGAGATGATACTTCAAGCACTAGAATACGAAACGGGTAAGCCGGTGAAAGTCGATATACTTCTTTTCATTGGGCTTCATAAAGACATTTTGGAGGCTTATCATGATTGAGAATTCTTTTAATATGCATTCACATAGTTTCAATAAATGGACTTTTGTAGCTAAGAAATGCCTTCATTTTCATTTATTTATTTGATACAATGGATATTTAGCGGTTAAGTGAAGAGTACAATTGATCTCAAGTCAGCGCAGATTATTAAGGAGGCTGCACAGTCTTTGAGAGGGAAGTCATTATGAAAAAATGTTAAACTAGGAAAAAGATGAGGTGTGCTGTACCCACCCAACAAAACCAAATGAAACAAGAAAAAGTAGTGGGTTATCACTGCGGAACTGTCCTTTATGCCGACTTAAGTTTTGGGAGACAATCTATACTGTTCTACACGATGCATGTTGAGCCGCATAATTGCAGACAAAGTACATGGTTGTTATTGTGAATGGGTCTGCATCAGTGATCGTTGGCTGCTGATGTGCATCTATCTTTAGTATAACAATTTGCATTTACGCCGGAATGTACTTTGGAAGGTTGAACAACATACATTAAGAGATATTCATCGCCTAAGCATATTGGAAAAGGCTTATGTTAAAGGTCTTTCTTTTTAGTATATTTATTTCTAGAAGGCATGTCAAAAGTGTAGGTTTTCCTAGCACATCGTGAGAACTATTTGGTGTTACTCCCTGAAGTTGGTCGACTAATAAAGTTTTATATGCTTGTGACCCTGGCAGGGCCACAGAATTTAGGTACCAACTGAATCAATTTTGGATAATTTTCAGAATGCTCATAGGATTGCACCCTTGTAGAAGAGCTTGTTCCCTCTAGGCACCTAAGGAAAAGAAACCTAAAGAATATTTTGGGGACTTCCATGTCATATCTTTTTTGTGGCCTGTAATATGCTCGCACTTGCACCCCCCCGGCGGGCGCCCAACGGTCTTCTTGTCTGTATCTTTTCACTGTTACTTAATTTTTGTAAGTTAATAAGCATTTGATTATTGCTGTGTAATTATTCTAATAATTTTTGAGTTACATTTTTTGCAGAACAAGGAAAAGATTTGGAGGAGTTTTTCCAGTCGACTGCAGGTATGGTTATTTCACTTTATCGTTGCTTAAGTGTCTCCGTTGCTCCTGTTCTTGTCATGAATAGACAAAGATGTCTGGTAGTGACTAGTTTTGGAAGTATAATTATATTGCCTGGTGACTTTAGTGCTGCAAATCAACATGCACCGTCACATACATTTGGCGTTGGGTAGAATGACACTTGTGAATAAAGTAAAGTAATGGGTCAGGATGAAGACCAGGATATGATCTTTGTTAAAAAAATGGTGTAATGGCCATCCACAGTAATAAGAAATGGTAATGATCCCAGTAGTAACTGGTAAGAATGAGTTAAGCGTTCTCATTCTCCACCTTACGAATCCTTTTATCTCACGACTGAGAAGGAATCTTAGTTTGGACAATCAAGAACCGTACGTAACAACTGCTGCATTAAATGTGGAGCAAGAGAAGGGAGAGAGCAAAAGGGGAAAAGTGATTAAAAAAAATTTTGTGAACAAACCGACAACAATGGGTCAGGTTGAAGTCCAAGCTACAACCTTTACTAAAAAAGGTTAAATTTGCATTAGTAGTAGTGAGAAATGGGCAAATTATCCCTGTAATTAAGAATGAGCCCAGATATTCTCGTTCTCCTCCTAGCATTTTTTTTTAATTTTCTTTAATCTCATGATGAAAAGTTGAAAACTAATCTTGGTTTGGGGCGATCAAGAATTGGGTAAAATACTGCATGAGATATGAACGATTTTTACAACGTGAGAAAAACAAGGATGTATTCTGTGAGTTGGTTTGAACTCAATGAATAAAGAACTGCAGACGGCTAGATGTGCGATAACAAAATTATCCAGGATTATGGTTGAAGTGAACTTAGACTAGACTGAAGGTGTTAATTGTGGATAATACATCAGAGATATATTCTAATCCCTAGCTTATGGAAATCGTGATTGGTCCATTAAGTTATGGAATGACGCGCCTAACGTGCAGCTTGCCCATATATTTTATTATGATTGAAATCATGCAAGGGACTTTTTCATGTTGAGGATCCCCCGATGAAGATTGTGACATTAGGTTGGGCAAGTTTTGCTAAATCATTGGTATCTGCACTTTAATCTGTAGTTTTCTCAATGAATTATATGCATCTTTCCTCTTTAACATGTAAACGTTGCTTCTGCAGGAAAATTTCAGACGGACGTGGGAAAAGCGTGGGCATTGGAGATTGCATCAAGGAGAAGAAAAGAACAGTAACTTGGATTTAGATGATACATCTTCTGTCTTGCTTTATTCATAACATTCAAATTTCGTTTCTCAACATTGTATCTGAGCGTAGCCAGGAAAAATTCCCCGTACTCTGCTTTCGTCTAATTAGCCACAGTAACAGGATGACCCCGAAACCGGAATTTTATACACAAAAGCCGCGGTCTCACGGCGTAGGGTGCTGAGTGCTGAGGATTCTCGCAGGTGTCGTAATTTTTTACAGATTGAAAAGATTAGTGGCATCTTGTAAGAATTCTTGCAATTTCCTTCACCCGCCATTCAATTGATTCACCACCTACCATATTTTGATGTTTCAGCTTGTCTTTGCCCATAAACTTTTCTCGGGTTTGAACTGTACTCCAGTGTAATAATGCTTGCTTGTATTCCATGCAAGTATGAATAGAAGTTTTAAGTTGATATCTCAAGCCTTTTTTCTTTATACTCACGTACATATTTTCAATAATTAAGTTCCTCAAAGTGTGTTTTTTTGGTCATATAACTATTTCATTACTGAATTTTTTTTCCAATAATTAAGTACCTCAAAAGTGTTTTTAGTCATCATATAACTCTTCACTACTAAAAAAGTGTTAATAAATTAATATTTTCCATGAAAAAAGTATATTGACTATTTACCCTAAAGAAGTATATTGATTATCAAATCTATTCTAGTAGGTGATGAAATTCTAAATAAATAAGAGTTGCAGCTATAAATTGTACTACATAATAATATACTAGAATAGTTAAAATTCTGTGAGGGGAAAACTGCATGATAATAAATCAAGTTATCACCCGCAACGAACTCAAAAGAGTGAAAACCCGTACTCTCAACGTCTAGTGTTTGCTTTTTCCTACACCCCCCCCCCCCCCCACACCCCCCACACCCCCCACCCACACACACACACACGCTACACGCCAATTGCTAATTAGGAAGAATTCAAATAGCTAATTAAAAATAGGAGAGGCCACCCAATAAAAGCCCAAAAACCCAGTGGGCCTTGCCTAACTACCGCTCCCCCCCCCCAAATGTGACCGTTAGCAAAAATCCAACGTACCTTTGGGCCGCCCCTTAGATGGGAATCCTCTACTAAGGCATAATGCCTCATAATATCTCATAATACGTCTTCACCTTTTATTGCATAGTATCTCCTCGTATTTTGTGCTTATGCAGAAAATAAAAGGTAAAGATGCATTAGAAGATATTAGGAGACACTATGCCTTAGTAGAGTATCTCAGTCCCCCGCCCCTTACAGGATTTATGATGCAACGTGACGTTCTGGAGAAGATGGGGCCCACGAGTATGTACCGGGTCCGTACTTCAGGGCCTGTTTAGATGGGATAGAACTTATGAAAAACAATTTTAGGAAAACCTTCTGTTAAATTTATTTTCACTTCCCTTGTTTGGTTCAAATAAAAACAAAAAAAAAAAGAAAAAAAATGTAAGTATTATAATTATAGAGAGGCGTGAGTATGTAAGAGCTTCTCCAACCGAACGTTATCCCTTCAATTTGACGCAAAAAAAGTTACTGTTTCTCCTCCAACCGAACGCTTTCCCCAGCGCCATTTTGGGGGAGAGCTACAGTGCTGCGCCAGATTTGGCGCAGCACTGTACCTTTGGCGCAGTGATTTTTTTTTTTTTATAGCCATGGAGTTTATTATTTTGTTGGTTTTTAATGTTTCTCTTTTTATTCATGATCAAAATATTTCATGGTAGCTTTTATTTTTTTAATTATTTTGATATGAACTATTATAATAAAATTAGATTATAAAATAATTATTAAAATAAAATTCAACAATGGAAAAAATAGATAGTTTAATCCAAACACTTAAAATTTCATAATACTAGAACCAAATAGAACATTGAACATAAACTAGAACAACATTGGAAATTAACACTAATTGCAATACATTAAAATTAAAGGAAAATAGAACATTGAACATAAACTAAAACAACATTTCAGTATTCTGGGAAGTCATAGACATCTCAATGACAACATATCAACTTCAAACACTTCATGACAACATATCAAAGAAAAGACACATCAATGACAACATATCAACTTCTGTCACTTCATGACGACATTTCAAAGAAAAGACACCTCAATGACAACATATCAACTTCAAACAATTCATGACAACATATCAAAGAAAAGACACATCAATGACAACATATCAACTTCTGTCACTTCATGACGACATTTCAAAGAAAAGACATCTCAATGACAACATATCAACTTCAAACACTTCATGACAACATATCAAAGAAAAGACACATCAATGACAACATATCAACTTCTGTCACTTCATGACGACATTTCAAAGAAAAGACACCTCAATGACAACATATCAACTTCAAACAATTCATGACAACATATCAAAGAAAAGACACATCAATGACAACATATCAACTTCTGTCACTTCATGACGACATTTCAAAGAAAAGACATCTCAATGACAACATATCAACTTCAAACACTTCATGACAACATATCAAAGAAAAGACACATCAATGACAACATATCAACTTCTGTCACTTCATGACGACATTTCAAAGAAAAGACACCTCAATGACAACATATCAACTTCAAACAATTCATGACAACATATCAAAGAAAAGACACATCAATGACAACATATCAACTTCTGTCACTTCATGACGACATTTCAAAGAAAAGACATCTCAATGACAACATATCAACTTCAAACACTTCATGACAACATATCAAAGAAAAGACACATCAATGACAACATATCAACTTCTGTCACTTCATGACGACATTTCAAAGAAAAGACACCTCAATGACAACATATCAACTTCAAACAATTCATGACAACATATCAAAGAAAAGACACATCAATGACAACATATCAACTTCTGTCACTTCATGACGACATTTCAAAGAAAAGACATCTCAATGACAACATATCAACTTCAAACACTTCATGACAACATATCAAAGAAAAGACACATCAATGACAACATATCAACTTCTGTCACTTCATGACGACATTTCAAAGAAAAGACACCTCAATGACAACATATCAACTTCAAACAATTCATGACAACATATCAAAGAAAAGACACATCAATGACAACATATCAACTTCTGTCACTTCATGACGACATTTCAAAGAAAAGACACCTCAATGACAACATATCAACTTCAAACAATTCATGACAACATATCAAAGAAAAGACACATCAATGACAACATATCAACTTCTGTCACTTCATGACGACATTTCAAAGAAAAGACACCTCAATGACAACATATCAACTTCAAACACTTCATAATGTTGACACCTCAATGACAACATATCAACTTCAAACACTTCATAACAACATTTCAAAGATAAGACACCTCAATGACAACATATCAACTTCAAACACTTCATGACAACATTTCAAAGAAAAGACACATCAATGACAACATATCAACTTCTAGCACTTCATGATAACTCTTCATGACAACATTTCAACTTCCAACACTTCCCGTTTATCATCTCCATCTATTATAAAAGCTCATATTGATGAGTTTGCTAAAATCATAAACCTTTATTTTCAAAAAAAATGAATTTTAACAATAGAGATCCTTCTAATTTGTCATCATCATTTTCTGATAATGAAATTGAAGATGAACAATTGATAGATGATATTGAAGCGATTGATGCAGAAAGGGAAGCGGTGTTTCGCATCAGGAACAACAACAATCTTCTCATGGCTTACTATATCAATCAACAAAACAACCAAGTAATTCGTGGAGGCTCAATTCCTGGTCATATAGTGATCAACCGTGATCGAGAAAATGCTGATCGTAATCTGTTCAACGACTACTTCTCTGAGAATCCGCGATATAATGATTCGATGTTCCGCCGACGATTTCGAATGTCTCGAGATTTATTCCTTCGCATTGTTAACGCCATAAAAGCTCACGACACTTACTTTATACAGCAAAGGGATGGGGTCGGTAGACTTGGATTGTCTACGCTTCAAAAAATTACAGCTGTGTTCCGAATGTTGGCATATGGTCTACCAGCGGATGCTACTGATGAATACATTAAAATAGGAGAGTCGACAGCAATCGAAAGTTTTAAGAGATTTTGTCGTGCTGTTGTGGAGGTTTTTGCAGAACAATATCTGAGATCGCCTAACACTAATGACATTGCCAGACTACTACATATTGCTAAACAACGAGGTTTTCCAGGAATGTTGGGCAGTCTAGATTGCATGCATTGGAAATGGAAAAATTGTCCAACGGCTTGGGCGGGCCAATACGCAGGTCGTAGTGGATCCCCAACTATTATTCTGGAGGCCGTAGCTGATTATGATCTTTGGATATGGCATGCATATTTTGGTTTGCCAGGTTCCAATAATGACATTAATGTTTTAGAGGCATCTCATCTTTTTGCAAAACTCGCTGAAGGTATTGCTCCTCCTGCTCATTATGTCATTCAAGGTAAACATTATAACATGGGTTACTATTTAGCTGATGGTATATATCCAAAATGGTCTACTCTTGTACAAACAATTCATGATCCTCGTGGTCCAAAAAAAAAGTTGTTTGCAATGAAGCAAGAAGGATGCAGAAAAGATGTAGAACGTGCATTCGGAGTACTCCAATCTCGATTTGCAATTGTGTCAGGACCAGCTCGTTTTTGGAAAAAAGAAGTATTACATGATATCATGACTGCGTGCATTATTATGCACAACATGATAATTGAGGATGAACGTGATCTTAATGCTACAATTGAAAATTGGAAGGAAGCACCAGTTCCGGACGTAGAGATGGTTGTAGATGAAAATGCTCGGTTTGAAGGATTTCTGGCTCGTCATCGACAAATCAAGAATAAAGAAGCTCATATTGCACTTCGAGATGCATTAATTGATCATTTGTGGGATGAATATACTAATTCGGAGACTTAGAATTTTATCAATATGAACCGTGTCTTTGTGTTTTATTTTATGTTAAATGTAATGCCTTTTATTTTTATTTTTATTTTGCTTGCAAGTGTGATGTTTTCTTTTGTGATGTTAAATGTAATCTTTAGTTGAAGTTATGAAAGTAATATTTTAATTTGATTTAGCATTTAATTTTTATATTTTTATTTTATTCATAAAATATATTATTATAATTAATTATATGTATTATATAATTATATAATTATATAATTTGTTAAATATTTTTAATTTCAAAAAATGTTAAAAGATAAGAATAATAAAAGGAATATTCTTTTTGGTGTAACATTTGGTGTAATGGGTTGGAGATGGAATAGTAATTTGGTGTAAAAACTACACCAATTTAGTGTAAAAACTACACCATTTTGAGTTTTATGGTTGGAGATGCTCTAAGACCCTAAAAACATGGAAACCCCGTTCCCATCAAAAAGTACAGAAATTAAGTCAAAAGTACCAAAAAATAAAAATAAAAAATTGGAACCTAC